AAAACCAACCCAACTTTGATTTAGTATGTTTAGGAATTTTATTTCTTTATTTTCCCTTTTTGTGTTTGAGTAAACGTAAGAAATATTCCGGCTAGCCTTCCTCGTGAGACACGACCCGGCGGCGAATCTTTTGATTCTACTCCGGAAAAATATTTACAACACCCACCGGCGTTGTGTTCTTGTAGGTGTTTGCCGCGGTTTAGCGACGTTTCAGAGGCGATCAAGACAGATCGGAGCTCATCTCAACCGGTTCACTCCAGATCTAGGGTGAGACCCATCAACAACCAACCTGGACACTGATGGAGGCCGAGATAAGGGGGAGATTCCCTACCTTCTCGTTTTGGAGGTCTTTGTATTCTTTTAGTTCGTTAGTTTTCTTTTGTCTTTGAATTCCGAGGTCGGAATTCCTTTTAAGGTGGGTAGATTGTAGCGCCCCATTTGTTCTGGATTAATTATTATTTATTTTATTTATGCTCGATTATTATTATTTTTATTGCGATTATGTGCTCGTAGATGTCTAATTGTCTTAATTGCTTATTAATATATAAATAAACATTTTGTGTATTGTATATATATATAATCTGGTTTTATTTATTTATTTATTTCGAACCGTATTTTATTAAATCGTATCGAGCGAAAATTCTCGTTATCGCGTTGTATTTTTCGGCCCAAATCGATTTATTTCTAGCTCTTCCAGTTATTAAATTCAGGCCCAATTGAGTTACCTTAAATTGGCCCAAAATAGATGTGTTATTTTTGTCCCATTTGTTTATCCCATCCTTGGCCCAACATGATTATATCTTACTTCATCTCTCCATCACGTTTGAATTGGTCGCCCTTATCTTCCCGTTTGAATGTTATGCGCGATTCTCCCGTGACGATAACGCACGTTCTCTCCTTCAGCTCTCCAACTGATCTTACGCCGATATATATATATTCATGCCTCTCTCGTAAATTCATTCCCACAGTCAATATATTCCTCTCATAACTTTTCCTCTCACGCCATCACCAAACTCTCGATCGTCACCATCGTACTCCTTTCTCACCATCCGCGAACCAGCATCACCACCGTGAGCTTGCAACTCCGGCGAGCAGCACCTTATCGTCGGCGCCCCTGCAACCCGTCGAGGAGAGCCCCATTGTCGTCGTCCCTGCACCCCGACCGTCACCGCGAGCAGTTTCAGATTCTCGTCGGCGACCTTCAACAGCAGCAATTTTTTCGGCATCGGGAATGACAGTCAACCGACGACCACCATTCGCGAGCTGCAGGCCATCCTTCTCGAGCAGCGAGTTCGACAGACTACAGCAACCCCATGCGAAAAGAATAACGATAGACGAGTCGGCCCGTACGTTTCATAGCAGCCCCTCGCCGGAGGTCTTGTCAGTCCTTGTAAGTCCTAAAATTCGCAGCACCAGATTGATATTCGAGCAAGCCGCAACCATTTTCTTCACGTCAGAATAGAGATTTCGAATCCTCGACGAAGACGAGTGAGCAACAACAGGCAACAGAATATTTTTTTGCAATATATAAGCTTATTTTATTTTTGACTTTGGGTAGTCCGTCGGGTCTCGATAAGCGAGTCGAGCATTAGCGAAAAATGTGTTGGTGAAAGCACGAGAAGAGAAGAAGCCATTGGTGGTGTCAATTTATTATTTTGAGGTCCCGATCATTTATTTTGAGCTCACCTTCGTCGTCTCGAGAAGTATTCCGGCCGTCTTTTATAGCGGAACTCCGTTCCCGTTGTTTCGTTCGATTCCTTTGACCAAGCTCGTAGTTTCCAGAAGACGGGTGATATTTCTGAATCTACTCATTATTCCAGTCGTGTTCGTATATCACATATTAGATATATATGTCATACGTTATATCAAATCCTTGTTTGAAGTCAGATTTCTTTCGATTTGTATATGCATGAATTATCTCGAATATCAGCTCTGTTGTGCCTCGATTTTACCCTTCATAATCATGTTATCTGATCTTGGGTTCTTCATATGAAATGAAGTTCGATAAGTTGGCTTTCTCTGGGATTTAGAATCATGTAATACGGATTTGAAACGAATAAGTTATGATTTTTATAAAATTATCGCGCAAGCAGTTTTTATTAAAACCCGACAGCAAGTGTGTGAAATGTCTGACCTGTTTATCATGTCTTAATGTGCTCAAATGTGTAAGTGACCTTCATGAAAGTTATAGGTCTATTGATTAGCTTTCCAATGATATAAGATTCATGCTGAGGTGATATCTGTAGCTCGAGTTGTGTTTGAATGAATGTAGATACGCATGAAGTAAGATTTTGTACTTTGGCAGGATTTGATGCTTAAATGTTAATTGTTTTTACACTACCTTAATGACCTTATCTGCTTTTAAGTTCTAAAAAAAATTGTATATGTATGTCTTAGGGTTCTAATGCAACTAGAATCATGTTCATATGAATTATGTGTTGAAAGTTATGTCGATTTTAAAAAATGTTGCCCGGGTTAAGTTTTGAAAAACGTATGTGGTGTTTCCGGAAATGGGATTTCCTTGATTAAATGCTTGCTTAAATGCTTATGTGATCTTAGTTGAACTAAGTGATTGTCATGATTAGTTGTTCATGGATGGAATAGTCATTTATAGGCTATTTTATTAAATGTAGGTGCTAGACGAGCCGAACTCGCCGCCCACATCTATTTTGTGATATCTGTCGCTTCGGTAACCAGGTAGGTACAATTTGTGTATCTATAATTATCGCATTTTGTTATTTCGTATAAATGTTCATTTCGATAACTTAAGTATGTCTGAGAACCCTAGTCTAGTGTGTTACACCGCCAGAGGCGTCTCGCCTTTAGTGCCTTTGATGAATGCATAAAAGTGCGAGGTCACCTGTCCGTCGTATCTAGGAGGAGGACGCCCTAGCCCGTGTGTTGGGGAAAAACATCTCGACTGTCTACTGGAAAAGATCCCTTAGCCCGTGTCGAGCCGGGGTGGGAATGTTTCCGGTTACTTCCTTGCTGATGTTTAATCGGAAGGTTGTTGTATGTACATAGGAGGTTTGTGATAGGGCCATATAGGGAGTTAGACCTGGATTCTATGCATACTCTATTTATAGTTTTGGATCTTTATGCGAGATAGACTTATGCGATATTGGTGAGCATAGTGGTTTTGCTCACCCCCATTGTTTGTTTTGTCCTCTTGTTTCCTCTTCCTATCTTGAGGTTGAGCATGGTTGGCGGCGGCAGCAAGGGACGAGCGAGTAGTGGTCATAGATATGTCGTGTCCTTTGCTTCTTTTGCTTCCGCTTTCACTTGAAACATGTTGGTTTGAATTTTTGGATCATGTTAAACCTTTGGATGTTTTTCTGAGACTTATGAGTAAACTGGTTTGATTATTAGATCGCATGTGTAGGTTCTTTATGTTTGTTCTTAATTGTTTATTTTGTTAGTAGCGCCAGTTAAATGATTAAAGTTTTAAATTGAGATTTTTGAAAAAAATTACTCTGATTTTTATAAATAAATTGGATAAACTCTTTAAATAAAATGGGGGCATTACAGAAAACTTGTCGCATAATCATAAAATATGATGGTATCAATTTGAATATGCGTTGAGCCTACGTGGCTGCTTCTGGTGCTTCAGAATCCTACTTGACGAAGAATTATGCTTCGTAATTAGGTTTGGACAAATAATATTGATATATTAATAATTAATAATCTAGGTTCGGACATTCCATAAATATTATTTAGCTAACTTAGGTATTTTAATATCACTTGTACTAATATAACCCTTTAATTCTTTGTAATTTTACATAGTGAGGCACTAAGTGAGTAATATATCCATGACTTTTGATTTATTTCTTTCAATTAGCTATTGAATTATAAATCTATTTTAAAAGTTGATAATTTTTGTATTTCTTATCGGTTTTACATATATAATATATCAAATTAATAATCTTTTCATTATCTTCGATCTGAAATCCATATTGTATATATAAAATAAATAAATTATATTTATCTTTATAATAACAAAAGATAATAGTATTATTAAAATTTATTAGAAAAATAAAATTATTTCTCAATTGGTATATTTATGTTTAATGTAGTTATATGTTGTAAGTTAAAAAAATTATTATAATATAACACAAGTAAGTCACACAAATAAAAAGTGTCATACTAAATATAAAATAATATATATTTTAATAAAAGGTATTTAAATTTACAACTACTTTTTTCTCATTAATTTTTAGATTTTAAGGATTGTTAAATATGCATGCATCTGGTTTGAGGTTTGAGAATGTAAAAAAAAAAAAAAAAAATAGCTTAAATTCTAAGTCCACTTTTTGCACTTTTAATATTCTTATTGATATTTATTTGATGTGTAAGAATGTAAAATCTTTTTTTTTTTTTAATACAGAGGTTCCAGGCTTGCGCTTGAATATTCCCTCGAAGAAACAGTCCTCGACTCCTCAGAAACTGCCTCCAATTAAATCGCGGTAGCTGCACAATGGCTCCCAGATTCCTAACACCCTCAACTACCGCGCATAAGGAGACGATCCCCAAGTGATTGCTCGCTGACCCTCCCAGCTCCAAGTTGGTCCCATCTATCCAGTCGTAGGATCCCACCGAAGTGGTTGCTTCATGCTGGCCCCCCAAACTTCATATTAGCCCCACTATCCAACTGCTGGTTCTCACCGTGTTCCCACACTACCGCTTGTAACCCTCAATAAAATCTTGTTTATATTTTGTAAACTTTTGATAAATCTCATCCGAATCTATTTGGTCCCATCCCAGATGGATAAGGTCAAAACGCCCAGTCTCAAGCCCCACGTTCACTACATCCTCCCTAACACGGACTGCCCACAGAAAAAACGCTTCTGTCTCTGTATTCTCGCCTTTCCCATGTCCTTTTTCGTCATTTCAGTCCCACCCACGCCCATATATAATTGGCAAAAGCCTCCCAATATCAAACCATCAAGTTTGTTCACACACGTTTCAAAGTGAAACCACAAAAAAGCAATAAATCGGCGAAAATGGAGGACGACGTTATCCTCGCCTCGCCTACTTCCCTTAAGCACAGGCTCCGGCAATTTCTGTGCTTCTCCTGCTGCTTCCGGCGCCGCCACATCCATCTCAATCCCCCGCCGCCACAGCCGTCAGATGGCAGCCCTGTCCTTGTCTGGGTCGGGATCAACGGGCCCCACGAGCGTTCGATGTCGGAAATCAAAGAGAAGTGCCGCGCGATGTTGGGTCTATCAGCGGCCAGGCATAAGAGGCACTCGTCGGCTGAGTTTAGCTACGATCCGCTGAGTTACGCTCTCAATTTCGAGGACGGTTCCAATTTTGACGATGAGGCGCCGCTGAGGAATTTCTCAACCAGGCTTTTGCCGGTTCCGGCCGCCGTTAGTTGATTCGTGGAATTTATTGTATTTTTCCTTTTCTTTCGCTTTTTGAATTTTTGTGAGGGCGATCAGGCGATGTAATTTGGGGCAGTGACTAAAGGAGCTGTTCATGTTCTATGCTTACTGTAAATAGTTTTGTAATTTTGATTGCAATTGTCTTTGTTTTCTTTTATTATTTCTTTGAGGAATTACAAAATGAGGA